CGACGCGCCCTTCATCGAGCGGCCTGAGGGGTTGGCGAACCAGATCGTCTGGGCCGTGTCGCTGCCGGTCTACGTGCCGCTCTGGTTCCTGACGCCGCAGCCCTCGGCTGGGAGGGCCTGCGGCGGCGCGCTGCCAGTGCCCGTCTTCATCTGCACCTTCGCCGTGTCGCTGCTGTGGATATCTCTCTTCGCGTTTCTGCTGGTCTCACGAGCGACGAACGTGCCCACACTCGCCACACTCGGGCCCCTGCGGCCTGGACGCCAAGGGCGCCCTCGAGGGCGCCCTTGTTATTCGCGCTCCGCGCTTCGGCTCCGATTCCTCCTCACGGTCCTCGCGGGCCATCCGCGGCAGCCTGCTCCATGAGATCGCGGCTGGGAAGGTCAGACCGCGAGGTGGTGTGTGTGTGTGTGGAGATGTTCCTCGACCGCGAGGTTTGGTGGGTCGAGGTCCTCGGCGAAGTGCTGCGCGTCAACGAGATCATCATGGGTTTCACGATCCTCGCCGCGGGCACGTCCATTCCAGACGCGGTGTCCTCGATGACGGTCGCGCGCCACGGGCACGGCGACATGGCCGTGTCGTCTTCAATTGGCTCCAACATTTTTGATATTCTCGTTGGCCTCCCAGTCCCTTGGATCATTAAGATCGGAATCATAGAGGGCGCTGGCTTCGAGCTCGCATTTCTTTCGCCGTTCCTGGCATTCTACGTGATCCTGCTGCTCGGCATGGTCCTTTGCACCGTACTTGCCATCCACTTTATGGGCTGGAAGCTCAACAAGATGCTGGGATTGGCCATGGCAGCTCTCTACGTATTGTTTCTGACGATCGCCCTGGTCGTGGAGATCACTGAGCCCGATTCCCTCATGGTCCAAAACTGAGAGAGATAAGCGATGAAACCCATGACTCCCGCAAGATCGGCAGGACCGCTTGCATTTTGTAGTGTGCCTTTGCCACGCGAGCCAGATCAAGTATTACCAACATCTGTCGCTCACTGGTTACGCAGAGCCTCCACCTTGTATACCGGAAGGCGTTTGCAGACAGCACGCTGCGATTAGAGAGAGAGAGAGAGAGAGAAAGAGAGAATTCAAGGTACGTTTGCACGCTGGATCGGTGGCGAGGTGGTCAAGAGAGTCATGTGCGCGCGCGTACTGCGCGATTGAATTTTCTGCGACGGCAGTGAGGAAGTGTTTATGGTGTTTGCCCTTGCACTGCCTCATCGAGCCCGTCAACCTCACTGTATCAACCGTTCGGGCCTCGACGAACCGTCGGTCTCGTTTTTTGGAAAGCGCGGTTATGTGACTTGTCATCCTGCTTCCAGTGTGCGATCGCATGCGAAGCAGCACGCGCTTCGTTACTGTGTCGTGCTCTTTTACTGTTGCAATGTGCTCGGTTGCATCAGACATCCAGCACGTGTATTTTAAGTTTGCAAGTTTGGACCGCGAACATTGGTTTAGTGTATTCTGAATGTGCGATCTAAGCGGTGTAACTCACTTGCCGAACTTGAAGTTGCCCACTCCACTGCTCGCGCAAACATCCCACCCACCCGCCCGCAACTTGGTTTGCAAAATCTCTTAAGACCGTGACGGTGGGTACCACATGGCACTTGGCAGCGACAGCGACGCCGACGACGACAGCGAGAGCGACGACGACGACGCCGCCGACAACGACTACGACGACACCGACGACGTCTCCAACGACTTCGACGACGCCGACGACGACGACGACGACGACGACGACGACGACGACACCGACGACGGCGACGACGCCGGCGACGACGACGACGACAACGACGACGATGACGACGACGACGACGACGAGGCCAACGACGACACCGACGACGACGACGACGTCAACGACGCCGACGACGACGACGGCGACGACGACGGCGGCGACGACGACGACGCCGACGTCGACGACGACGAAGACGACGACGCCGACGCTGACCACGACGACGACGAAGACGACGACGACGTCGCCAATGAAGACGACGACGAGGGAAGAGGGAGGACGACGACGGCGACAACGACGAGGGAGGAGGGAGGACGGCGACGACGCGAACGACGGAGAAGGAGGAAAGACAACGACGCCGACGACGACAACGACGAGGGAGGAGGGAAGACGACGACGACGACGACTACGACGACGTCGACGGCGACGAAATAGGAGGGACGACGACGAGACACCGACGACGGACGACGACGACGACGAGGGTGGAGGAGGAGGAAGGACGACCACGGCGACAACGACGACGGAAACGACCACGACGCCAAAGAGGACGACGACGACGAACATGAGGAAAGACAGAGGACGACGTAGGCGACGACAACGACGACGACGCGGGAGGAGGGAGGACGGCGACGACGACGACGACGACGACGGCGACGCAAGAGCGCGCGCACACTCCTTTGTTGAAAATCCGTGTTGCGAAACCTTGTGTTTTTGTAGGTTTTTTGGACACACGATGTTGGAATCTTTCCGAAGCCGATGGGTTTTGAAAGATTTCGACATACGCGCGCGACGACGCGCGCGTCTGCACTTCGTCCGGTTTTTGCAGAGGATTTTCGCGCCGGCACACGCGCAAGGGCGTTCGACAGATTTCGACGACATGCGCGCGCGCGAAGCCCGTTTGGTAGCACTTTGTGATAATCTCGAAAAACCATTGTTTTTTGCTGCTATTTTTTATAACAAAAAAGTCGCAAGAGCTCGCGCGTAATCTTTTTTAGCAAATCAGTGTTGCGAAACCCTGTGTTTTTGTATATTTTTGTTGGGGGGGGAACTGCGCAATCCCTCCGACACTGGAGGTTTTTGGAGGATTTCGGCATGCGCGCGCGACGGCGCGCGCGTGTGCACTTCGTTTCTTTTACAACGGATTCGCGAACAAGTCTTATGTTAGAACAACAGATGTCCCTGCGTATCGTTTTTTTTTACCAGGGGACCTCAGGGGGGCCGATACCAGTTCCCCTAGGAATTTGTAAATTCATTTTTAGGATGGACATGTGGTCGGAATCATATTTGATTAACATACCCGAAAGGGGGGCCGATAACGCCGGGGGGGTGGGGTAGAGTCTATTCTCTTTTTGGAAAGGAGAATCAATTGCACGTCGTATATGTGGTGCAATCTACGTGGTCCAGGCTAGGATCGACATCCATGAGACTCGGTCGATCCATCATCGGGACTTCTAGGTGGGTCGTGAGGTTGTCTTGGAACTTTCTTGATGCAGTCTTCGGCTGTTTTTGGGTGATCCCGAGTCAGTTCGGGCCCGTCTTGGGGCTTTTTCGGGGGCTCCCTCGAGCCGCTTTGCGGGCGCGTTGGGGCTGTATGAAGAAATTTCAATGCGGCCTTCGCTTGGGAAGCCTCGTACGCAAAGAATGTTGGTGTTTCGATGTTCCTTTCTTTTTGGGCGTCTCTCGGAGGCGTCTTGGCGTTTTCTTGAGCATTGTTGCGAGATCTTGGGCAGGGGCTCGTTGCGCCATTGGGCGCCTTGCAGCCGTTTCCTGGCGGTCTTTGGCTGCCTTGGAGCCGTCTAGAATCTAGAATCTAGAGGCCTACGGGGCGCCCCGCAGCAATATTACTTGGGGGGGCGGCTTTGGCCCAAGTCTGCCACAAGGAGGGAGGTGGCTTCCCAGACAGCTTGCAGCAGGCGTTCCAACGTTCAACGATCGCGCAAGCGCTGCGGATACCTTCGGCGGAATTCGACCTGGCCTCAGCGCTTGCACTCGGTGCCGTTTATGTGGCGCACGGAGGAGTTGCGCCCGCAGCACGTCCGACGCTTCGTCGCCTCCTCCTCCTCCTCTTCCTCCTCCTCCTCCTCCTCATCATCCTCCTCCCTCCTCCCTCCTCCTCCTCCTCCTCCTCCTCCTTCTCCTCCTCCTCCTCCTACTCCGACGCTGGTTGTGTGTGTGTGTGTGTGTGGCCTCCGCCCGCCTGCCATGCCACCCCCCCCACGCACGGCATGCCTCGAAGAAGACAGGACACACGTACCCATCGGTCGTTGAAGGTGCTCCAGATTTCGTAGTACAGGGAGGGGGGTCTCATTTCGGGGGGGGTCTCTTCCAGGCTATCTTGGAGGGCCTGGGGGGGGTCTGGGGACGATGTGTTGGAGGGCTCTCCCACGGGGGGGGTCTGAAATGGCTTGTCTTGGAGGGTCCAGACCCCCTCACTTTTATTACGAAATCTGGAGTAGGTATTTCTGGGCTCCCAGATGCCAGATCTATCTTGAGCGCCTTCCCGCTTCGGTGGCCGGGTGGTCTTTTCCCTTCCCGCTCCTCTACGTGGAGCGGGCGGGCACCCAGTCTACTTCCAACGCCTTCCTGCTTCATGTGTCTACGTGCTTCTTCCGACAAGTGGGTACTCCAGATTTCGTAATAAAGGGAGGGGGGTCTCATTTCGGGGGGGTCTCTTCCAGGCTATCTTGGAGGGCCTGGGGGGGTCTGGGGACGATGTTTTGGAGGGTTCTCCCACGGGGGGGGGTCTGAAATGGCTTGTCTTGGAGGGTCCAGACCCCCTCTCTCCTCTCTTTTATTACGAAATCTGGAGTACACATAATTTTTGGGCGTTCCGCGCGGATTTCTGGGATTCGCGCCTGACCCCCCCCGCGGCGCCTCTGGCGCCGCGCTCCGCGCGCCAGGCAGGGGGGTGCAGCGCGAGTCCAAGAAATCCGCGCGGAGCGCCAAGAGTTTCTGCTTGTGTGTGTTCTTGTTCTTCTCCTAAGTGTTCCCTCGGGCCGAACGAAAGGGAGAGGGATAGGGAAAGGGACATGGGCGCCTCATAGCGCCGGGAGGCGCCGGGAAAGTCAGCTACGTGAACTGATTCTCAAACCCTCCCTTTGCTATCCCCCCCTTTCGCCCAGCCCGAGAGGCCTCGGGGGCGGCCAGGAGTCGACAAGCTCAGCCACAAGTCTCACAGTCGGACTCGATCGTGCCCTCATCACCTCGTGCGTAGAGTTGTAGAGGAGGATCCATGGAGAGGAAGCGTGTTGCCAGATACTTTCCAGATGTCTAGAACATATGTTGAACATGTTCTCCCCTTTGCTGTCCCCCCCTTTCGCCCGGCCTGCTTCTCGCTCGTGGCGGCACGTGCGCACCCCGGAGGGCCTCTGTGGCCCAGCCCGGGGCCACGGGGCCGCAGCGCTGCGCGCAGGGCTGCTGCACGTGCGCGCCCCGCGCTGCCAGACCTCAAGGGTCGTGCGCCTGCTCACGGCGTGGCCCCCAGCTCGGGTCGGGCCTGTCCCTCTGCAGGGGGAGTATCCACAGATAGTTACAAAAGTGTGAAAACAGTCTGGAGACGCTTTTTCGACCCTGATGTTTTGAATATTTTGGGGGCATTTGTGGAGTGTGTGTCATGTTTCCTCCCGAATCCGCCTGCAGGGGGGCACGCCCGACCTGACCCCAGACCTCTCGACCCACCCTGGAGGTAGTTCTCGTCTCGCAGGTCGTTGGTGGCTGGTCTGATCGGGCTGTGCCGAGGGGGTTCACCACCAGGAGGCCACCAGGATCGAGGTTCGAAGAGATGCTTGAACGCTTGGCGTCGTTGGGGGGTGGGGGGAGGTCCGCTGCCTCGAGGGAGCCGAGCTTCCTCGAGGAAAGTGTGCTCCCTCGAGGAAATCTGACTTTCCCGAGGAGATCGGGCCTCAACGTCGATGGCATCGGGCCTCCTCGAGGAGCGTGTTGGGGCTCCCGCTGCCTCGGGCAAGTCGGGCTTCCTCGAGGACGTGGTGACCACCCTGGTGGTGACCCCCCCTGGCGCTGCCTGGTCCCGAGGCTCGAGGACGGCCCCGGAGGATGGCGCGACCTCGGGCAAAAGTTTAATATCGTGGCGGCCACTGGAGGTCTGGATCGGCTTCCAAAGGCGACACGCTCTCCTCGCGCGCAGGACATTTGAACTCGTTCCCTTGTTGCTTGGACGACCTTGGTTGCTCATGTCTGATCTTTGCTTGGGGATGGTGATCCCTGGCGTACTGTGGTATTGCGGTTCACGTCGCCTCCGCTTCTGTGTTCGTTGCGGTCGGGATGCGAAGAATGAGGAGGAGGGTGAACGGAGAAAGAGGATAATGGAGGGAAAGCATGAGCAGGGAGAGGAGGGAGAGGATGTGGAGCAGGAGGAGGAGGCAGAGGAAGAGGAAGAGTAGGAAGATGGAGAGGAAAAGGAGGAGGATGAGGAAGAGGAGTAGGAAGATGACGAGGAGGAGGAGGAGGATGAGGAGTAGGACTACGAAGAGGAGGAGGGGGACAAGCAGGAATGAGGAGGAGGAGAAGGAAGAGGAGGAGGAGCAGGAGGAGGAGGAGGACGAGGAGCAGCAGCAGGAGCAGGAGGAGGTTGCTGCGAGTGCAAGAGAGGCGGGGTGAAGAGAGCGGGTGGAACGGAGGGCGGAGGAGGAGGGGAGCAGGAGGAGCAAGGACGATGATGAGGCAGGGGCTAAGGGGGATGGGGACGCAGGATGAGGGAAAACGAGGCCTGGGCCCTCATTCGCCCTCTTGTGGGCGCGAGGCGCGCCAGCGGCGCACCGTCATTGGAGTGCAGTGGCCATCCGAAGGCGTGGCCAGACGACATCGCAAAAGCGCGCGTGCTCCGCCGACGTCGACGCCCTCGCTCGGGAGGCTGCCCGGACGTTCCTGGACGACTCGCCGCCACGGTTGGACGGAGTGCGAAGAGTTGGCCAGGGGTGGGCCCTGGTGGGAGTCCGGGTGGCACCGAGCATACAGTCGGGTCGCTTAAGAAGGAACCCTTTTCGTTGGGGAGGGGCTCCGTGTGCCTTAATTGTTTCACAGCTTGCCCCACGTTTTCCTTAGGTTTTCGAAGGGAAGTCGAAGTTTAACTTATGGAGAAAAGGGGCTTCGTTCCTTATTTAGGGTTCCTTAGGTCAACGCCTCGACTGTATGCACTTGCCGATCCTGGCCAGGCCTTGCCCCGGGATCGGTGTGCACGCCCACCCGCCCGGGCCAAGAGGCCACGCAGCGCCGATCCCGGGCCCTGGATGTGAGCCTGGCCGGGAACGGTGCAGGCGTATGGTGAGGTCGGGCATGACCTCCTACAGGCGGAGTTCTTGGCATCGCTCGGACGTGTGCATTTTTCTTTGGGCGAGGACCATCGAGGAGCACCCTTGATCATCTGGCGAACAAAAAAACACGCACGAAACCGAACAAAAAACGGGGAATGGACGTCCGAGCGATGGCCAGAGTTTGGGCGAAACATGGAACATAGTAAAACAATGCCCCCAAATAGTCCAGAATCGCCGAGACATCGTCCCCAGACTATTTTGTTTTACTATGCTTGAATGTTCCTCCTGTAGAGGGACACGCCCGACCTGAGCGTATGGTCGGTGCCCCTCTTGGGCGCGGGGCGTGCCCACGAAGGTAAGGGCGAGGAGTGGGGGTGGGGTGGATGGGGGGCGCGGGCCCGTCGAGAGGACCCCCTCCCGCCTCTTCGAAGGCCTCCCGCTCTTCCGAAGGGGGCGGGAGGAGGAGGGGGAGGAGGATGGGGAGGAGGATGGGGAGGGTGGATGGTGATGATGATGATGATGTTGATGCTGATGATGATGATGCTGATGCTGATGCTGATGACGATGATGATGATGATGATGATGATGATGATGATGATGATGATGGTGATGGTGATGGTGATGGTGATGGTGATGGTGATGATGATGGTGATGCTGATGATGCTGATGATGATGCTGATGCTGATGCTGGTTATGATGCTTATGGTGCAG